ATTTGTTTGTAAAAAATGCACCATTAGAACTAAAGATCCTAGAAGTGCTATAGCGAAGGTGGTGTGTAGAGAGAGCTTCACACCAAACGGATCGCAAAAACAATATTGTAGAAACAAACAGCGCACCCTTATACGTCTCATCCAAGCCACACAACTTGGTCATTTTGCATGCATATCAATTTTTATCTGAATCTAGGCACTCACCAGAAATACATGCCGCAGCATAGATGCATAGCAGCACGCACATCAACACACCTTAATACCCTTTATAGCTTCTCTTTCGTTTCCCTTCCTCAGATATCGTGTTGAAGGTGCTTTTTTCATTTGCAACTTGTCTCTCAGCACCATCCATCTGTTCGTACACACCAATCAAAAATATGTATTCATTCAATTTTTCTTCATTAACTACGTTCATTTCTGGTACTTGAAACTTGTTGCATCCTATCCATACAACAGGTTCTCCGCTGTTCTTCTCAGCACCAAGAGCAGATTGCAGTTTGTACGTGAAGTTGTTGTGTTGATATTCAATTGCTGGCATAAGCTGTCTATTTTCAGTCTTGTTTACCACTAACAATATCTTTGATGCTCTCGTTATCGCACTCATTTTTTCATCGAGGAGATCGATAAATGTTTTTTCTTGTCCATCGATGCAGGTTATTTCGATGATCGAGTAAGATACCTCTCTTTCATTTTGCATTGTCGACATAAACAAATCTGTAATATTTGCATTATTGTCCTCTTGTCTCAACTTCAGAACAATATTCTCGTAAACAAGCAAAAATGCTCGTCTTAGACTGGACTCTTGCGGTATCAGTGAGCAATTGGAGTCAAAAGCGCAATACACAGAGCTGCTACTCATTCGACGATCAGTGGCAAAAATATATGATTCAAGGGATTGATAGTAGTTTCGTATCTCCAAGACCAGGCCGTGATCAATTGCGTTAAACATTTCCAAGTGTATGTATTTAACAAATTTTGCACAACACGATAACGAAAGCAGGACGTAGGAACAGAGCAGGTCATTTGTACAATATGTTTTTAACATGACAAGCTGTGCACTTTTATCGTGTTCCGGATCGTTGTAGTCATCTTTTCTTGGTTTTTTTGGTGCGCTTCCACCCTGTTCAGCATCACCGGGACAAGTGGGATTGGTGCGACCTGAACTTCCATGTGTTTGCAATGAGCGGTGAATGAACAGAAAAACCGTTACAAAAATTAGCTGAACACATTTCATACGGGGTGTCATTTTCGTTAATGACTTATTCTCCATAAATGGCAAGTCGTGAGATCAACAAAGAACATGCTACAATAGTTTGGTTTAATACGCAGTAGCACTCGACTCGCAAAATCTAATCTGGTAATATTCTAGAACTGCCACAACAATTCATCTTCTTGCTTTACCGGTCTTTTATGGTATCATCACGTACGATTCGGTATAACACCAAATCTGTACAGTACAATGTTAATATCACAGATATAATATGTAAACTGCCTTAAAAATTTTTATCTGCGGTATGCAGTTCGTGCAAAATGTTAGAAAGCGAATTTGTAGTTATTTGTTGCTTAGAAATGTGTGTTGTGCATTTTTCATGATTACTTTGTTTTCTCAAATTAGAAAAATACAGAGAATATTTGATTTTTGAACGAAAACAGCAGCATGATCAGTCATAACGGATTATAAAAGCTATTTTATTAACAGATATCATTCTTGCGGTCGTTCTTCTCAACTGGTATCAAGCAAAATATTTGTTCTAAATTAGCAATCACACGCTTGAATTGTTGTATGCGTGTAACACAGCCTCCGATCCTATTGATCAGAAGTATAGGAATTGATAGAGCAGTTGTAGTGTATTGCAGAACAAGGTAGAAATAGACTGTTAATCTGGGAAAGAAGAACATATTTTTAGATGTACCAGTAAATGCGATTCACCTTTTTCAGCAAATCCGTACGTTTATCTCCTCATACGACAAAATCTGCATAAAAACACTTTTCTGTTCTCTTACGTTACTCTACGAGGTGTACCGCAATTAGCGTGTTCCCTTTTGGGCATGCCGGCTAAATGCAATAGAAATGAGCAGTTCAAAAAATTTTACTTATTTGTGCGTTATGCTGGCGGAGAATTACTTAATGCAGCGTACACCGTTAAATGTGGCGGTAATGGCAGATTCATGGTCCGTTCCTGCGATACCTTAGTAGGAAAGGGTGCGTATCCGTACAAGAACCACGAATGGCAGTGAACGGAGTACGGTACTGCTCGTGTTACATTAAACGATCCTTGCAACCACGCAATGATGCGTAACGGTGTGAACGGACAGAGCCTCCAGATGAGGTGTGTACGTAGGCATGAAGTGTAAAATACGTATTTTTACGTGTAGGAGTACGTTGATCAGTTCAGTTATTCTGCATTTTGAGGGATGCTAAGAAATGGTGTGGGAGCTGTAGGCGTGCGGTAGAAGATACGTGGTAACAAAGGACAACGCTATCAATCGCAAAATACGAACGAACGAGCAACGCCCTCAACAACAAAACTAAACAAGCAATGCTATCCACCATTGCAACGCTGTCTTAAAATCACCAGCAAATCGTATACATCACTTTAAAATTTAGTACTTCCACTCTCGGCAATACCCATCGTATAAATGCCTTCAACACCGTACACAAACATAAAACTTATGACCAGCGTAATCAAAGAAAATACGAACACGTTCTTCCTGCTCGTCCATTCGTGTCCCAACGTAACGATCGCACTCGAATAGTACTGCACAACAAGCACATACGCAAACACAAAGATGAAACCTAGGGCACCGAGCAATACGCGCAGCAGCATGCTAAGCGGCATGTACGACAGCGTGTAGTTGAGCACGTGCATGTGTGCCAGTATGCTTGATGTTTTGGTGAGGTACCAGCGGTAAACGATCGATGAGATGAGCAGGTACGCCTGAATGGCAAGGTAAATGCCGAGGATGTACGGCACAGGCAGCGGCCGTATGTGTGGTATGGTTGATAGCACGGATGTGAGCAGGAGCAGCAGGCAGGTGTACAGAGGGAACAGAACGATCAGGAAGATGTTCGGCTCTAGGTCCTCAACCGATACGGGATCGAGCACAAAACTCTTTTTGTAGTTCCTGAGCTCGTTGGTGAACGAGGTATTCGAGCGTATGTGATCCGGCAAGGTGTTTGTGTGCTGCACGACCATTTGTTTGTTTTTGTTTTCGTTTCTTTTTAAACGATCAGCAAAAATGATCAGTAAACAAAAGATGGAGAGACGTTTCAGCACACGGAACGGCGAGAACGTGGCGGGATGCGGTAGGAAAGGAGTGCAACACAACAAAAGAAACAGCGTAATGAGCAGGACATGCCACACAAAAACGCAGCAGAGCAGAGCATAAAAAGAACGGTGCAAATAATACGGTGTGCGTACGGTACGTGCCGATAAGCTTAAAAACGTAAAACACCATTGGTACGAAGCAGCAGTGCATCGTAAAAACAAAATGTATCTGCAATACAGCACTTTCCCTCTTACCCATCACGCTCTCCTCTACCACAACAACACCTGGGCATGCACAGCTTCATCCTTGGTCATTTTTCCCATTTCTTTTACCTTTCCTGATCATTAGCACGTACCTCACTGCTAATTCTATCTTTGATTTAATTTCTTACCTTCATTTCATCAATGCCTAGCACATCCATCCTGCACCACTGTTAATAAATCATAAATAATTAATCATTGGCAAAATTAATGATGATGAATCTACCACTGTGATGCTCTTCATCCCTTTACATAATGCAGTTACTTAAGCAGTACGTAGTATCTGCCATCGCATACCGCTAGTACTTACCCCGATACCCTGCTAGTACTTACCCTCAATATCCTACCGCTAGTACTTACCCTCAATATCCTACCGCTAGTACTTACCCCCGATATCCTGCTAGTACTTACCCCCAATATCCTACCGCTAGTACTTACCCTCAATATCCTACCGCTAGTACTTACCCCCGATACCCTGCTAGTACTTACCCTCAATATCCTACCCTCAATACTTACCCCATCACCACAACTTAACCCTCGCCATGTACCAAAACAATCTGTTCACCCTCCCCTTTTATCCTCAATTCCTTAAAATTGGCTAACTCTAACACACCCACAAACATAACCTGCCACGACACATCGGCCCTTTCCTTCTCACCATAATACTCCTTCACCGCATCAAACATCTCCCTGATACCCAACTGCTTGCTCTTCCGCACCACAGTGCTTATGTGCTGCTCTAGCCTTTTGATGTCCACTCTTTTGGGCATTCGCGCGTATTTCTTCAGCAGATGTACGCTGGCTGTGCTCAACGGACCGTTCATTTGCAGTTCGTCCTCAATTGGAATGGGCACGTGCTCCGTGTTTATTTCCCTGGCAGAGTGATCAATGAACGAATTGATGATGCTGTTATCGAGCGCATGATGCATGCTCGTGTTCTCAGCGGTACGTGCATTGACGTGGCTGATGCTTGTATTGGTAGTATCATGCGCATAAACAGGATCGGTACGCACCGTATCAGTGGCATAAGCCGGGCCTTCAATCCTAAACCATTCCTTGAGCATGTTCAGTGCGTACAAATCCTCTTTTACCACGCCGTAGTCCTTTACAATGCACTTGTCATCTGCCCGTCGTTTGAGCACGTCTTCTTCTCTTAGAAGGGAGCTGCGCCTGTCACCAAGTGCCTTCCGATCGAACTGCTCAAGAAAATCCTTCTTTGTTCTTTTTCTTGCGCTGCACGCCTTTCTTTGCGAAAGTATGCGCCAATTTTGTGGGCCTGCCCACGCCTTGTGGTATGAAAAGGGCGTAGCATCAAACTTGTCCGTAAATATGCACTCGTGCGCATCAACACCAACATCCTCGTCCATGGCATCGTTCACAACCTCGTGATCAACACTGCCCTCGTTCATCGGTACCTCATTCTCAAGCATATGCTCATCGATGTCCAAGAAATTGTCGAATTCGATTTCTTCTGCATTTTCGCTTGCTTTCACACCTTTGAGCGTGGGGCAAACAAAAAGATCTGCGAAGCGGATCTGCTGTAGATGACCCTGCAACTCTCTGCTGCAGAGAAATGCTCCGTAATTAACCCTATGGGCATCAACCGGCACCTCCCCCAGCACCATCATACATCCCGTTCTGTCCATTCCCACGGTGCGTAGCAAACAGTCATTTCGCACGTTGCATCGCCGCACCTCTCTCATTTCCTTGTCCCACAGCACTACCCGCTTCTCCACCCTCACGCTCTCTTTGTCTGCAAGCGTATTGGCCGTGTTCTTCCTCCTCTTCCTTACCTGCACCATCCGTTCCAGCAGCTTGCTCGTCATGTCCACCACGTTGTCGATGCGCATGCTGTAAATGCGCAGGGATGCATCGATCGAGTGCCCGATGTTGATTATGTCATCGCGTGTTGATGGCGGGTCAAGCGATGAGAGCGTGTCTATTGCGTTTGATTGCCATGCTTGTTTTGATGTGAGCTTGGCTGGAATGATCTGTTTATGCATTTCTCAGGGGTATGAGAATATTTTAAGGATTAGCTGACGGATGATGGGGAGTGAAAGAGGGTGAAGAGGTGATGAGGAGGAGCGAAAGAGGGTGGGAAGTGATGAGAGTTGCGAGCTGCACACAATCAATCGTGGTGATAGGTTGGGCGAAAGTACTAGGAAAAGAACGAGAATTACGGATCGTGTTGCTCTCATTGATGGGCGAAGAACAGAATGAGGTTTACAGCACGTGAGATGCAAAGTCAAAATAAAGAACAACGGTCCAAGACAGAAATGTGCGCATTTCAGGTTTATACGGGAAGAGGCACATTTCAAAGAATTGAGAGACAGCGAAAGGAAGTCGGCTGGGATGGAAGAACAGTCGTGAAAAACAATGCATGAATAACGGAATGAGCATTTATGGTGCGTCGTGCATAACCCTATAAAAATAAAAAGGGTGCATAGGCAGGCGACCAGCACCAGGGTCTAACATTAGGACAATTGATCGAATCGGGCAATAAACACAGCTAAAGCGCTTGTAACACCGAGCAATGAAACAAGGCTGCTGCAACCGCTTTCATTCCATGGTGGGAGAAAACGAAATAGAACGGGAAAATACCGCTGAGCTACCAAACCATAAATTAGAAGCAGCGCATGTTGCAAAAATCACCATTAAGACCGCTCTGTCTTCATCTAAAACCTTTTTATTATTCCCGCTTATTTCTCATGCGTCTCCTCTTTTTTCCGCTTGAACTCAATCAGGCCCGTTCCTTTTGCATAGTTTATCTCTTCCATGCGCTCCTCCTCCTTCCAGTCTGTGATGTTTTCTCCACTCTCATTCTCCAGGACCTGCGTGCCCAAGGGGCACAGGAGCGTGCTCATGACCAGGTACACGATTATAAGAGAAATGCATTCGCATTTCTGCAGCACATAGTCAGACATATCACTGATCGAGAATGGCACGGATAGGATGTGCAGAGTGTACTTGAGGAACGTGTTAGTGAGCAGAGCAAACACAAGAATGTTCAGGTTCTCGGTGCTGCGAGAGTCTTCGCCATCGAATTCGGTGGTGCTGAAGAACTTTATCTGCAGGATGAGCAGGAAAAATGCACACAGGTAGTTCTCGAAGCCGTAGAAGATCGAGCGGAAAAACACACTGGCACGCGCCTTGTCCTGGTGGTAGAAATCGATGAAAAATGCGAAGGGAATGCGCACAAAGCCGTAGATGATGGAGAGCGTGATGATGGACTCGTGTGTGATGGTGCGCCTGAACTTCTTCATCTGGTGTTTGCGGTTTTCCTCGAGGAACAGCAGAGAAAAGTGGTCCTTAAGCTTTGAGCGCCTCTTGAGCGCGTATGCGCTCACACACGGCATCCACAGGCCGATCAGCATGTAAATCGCGGATGTACGAAAGATGTGCTGCAGCGAGTAGCTCACGTTCACGAGCTGTACGATGTTTACCATCTTGTTACCGATCTTGTACAGGTACTCGCCGTCCAGGTATCCGATTGTTTCGATCTCCTGGCGTGACACGGCCATCTGCGTGCCGAGGAAGATGAGCAGGAACATGTAGATGCACAGCGAGCACACGCTCAGCATGAAGAACGAAATGCCGGTCTTTCTCAGGAACGAACCATTCTTGTTCATGATGATGCGGTAAATGCAGAATGAGCACAGCAGGAAGGACAGAATGCCCTCGTCAACGTGATTGAGAAACGAAGAGTTTACCATTTTGTTTATGCATGCATTTTTTGTTTTTAAAGCCATTTTGAAACGCATTGATGATCTGAAACATTTGATGAGTGGAAAAACAGAAAGGACCGTGATAAAGCAGCGAGCACACGAATCGGAATGCGCACAGCAATGCATAACAACACAAAGTTCGTGGACAACACGTTTAATTACGATCACCAATTCAATCGACCGCTGAAACACAACGGAAAATTTTTGGAACGCCCTGGGCCGTTCATTTCCTCCTAGGACACCGCCATCAATGCGTTGTGCAGTTCAACGCAGTTCTTTGTGGTTGAAGCAGACCGCGTTCGAAGAACGGTGCGAAAAGAATGGAAAGCGATAAAGCACGACCAGCAGTGCACGGTATTACTTTGGATGTACCACGGCGAGGGATCACTTCCATGCCGTATAACGGCAAATGCACGGAATAATTATTCGTGGCGTTGTGGCAGTTCACACGTTTTGAATGAGGGGCCTTTTCGTCACGGTCAGCGCTGTGCGCATCATTTTTTGGTGTTGTGTTCTGCCGAACGTACTACGATGGTGTTCAGGCAAGGGAACATCAACGCATCGTCTGTGGCCGGAAAGGGTATTCGTAAAGAAAATGCCTTTCAGGTATCGTCAGACCTTCAGCGTGTGTTTTATTTCGATTCGGCCTGTGATGCATCCTTCGCCACCAAGAGGATGTCCTTGTACCGTATGAATACGTTTACACAGACCTTCAACATTACGCACGGGTACGAACACCTGGTTTAACGATCGGGTCATGAGCAGGTACGGCTATAAATGTGTATACGCTGTTCATTCCGCTTGAATAATACGTTTTATGCCGTATTTACATACGCAAAGGATTTTCAGCCGTACCGCTGCGTCTTTTTTTTGTAGTTTTATGCTCTTTTCGTGAACCGTGCGTACACGAAGCATAACCTTGGTATTCCTCCGGTTGGGGCAGTCAATCGTAATTAGCACCGGTGCGCGGTTGTCAGCAGCTTTTATGGCCTTTCACTTGGCATGGACGAATGGTGTAAGTTTTTAGATTTTCTGCGATGAAAAAGGTGGTCGCGGCCGAGACGTGAACAGATGGGGTCATAAATGAGTTTTGATCGCAGCCGGGCGTAAACGTGTGAATACACCCGTAGAACGCGGCGGTGCGCGCGTCAGACACGAACATGTCCGTGCAACAGAACGAATGCCCAGGACAACTCGTGATTTAATGAAATTGCTGTCCAACGGTCTAAGACACCTCATAGTCATCAACCTCATCGTTGAACTCTCTGATTCTTCTCCTCAGCTTGGAGCCATCCATCCACTCAATAAAATTGTCCATTCCCCTGCTGACCAGCACGGAGCAGTTATTGACTCTCGTATTGCCCACTCTCACATGGCCCTGCTCCACAAATTTGACTGCATCTCTCAAATTCTCGATCATCCTGTTCCTCTTGAGAAGCACAGGCAGCCTTCTCTCACAGAAATTCTCAATTTTGATTTTAGCACACTCAACCAACTTTCTGTTGGCGATGAGACCATGTGAGTACAAACGGTTCACCAGAATTGTCGTGTACTTCTCTTTCTGTGCATCGGGCATGCTTGCAATCGATTCAGCCAGCGTACGAATTATACGTGCCAGCTTTCTGTACGTGTAGTAGTCCTCCCTGCGTGTGATGTAGTATCTAGAAATGTAGTGGTGCTCATTCTTCGTGTCTGTGTTTCGCCACTCTAGAAAATTTGTTTTTCTGAGCAATCTCTGTTCGTGGTATTTGAGCTGCCTCATCTGTGGTTGGTTGAACGAGGGGTGTGAGAAATAAAATGGACAAGGTGTGGGAGTGAGAAGAAAAATGGACAAGGTGTGAGAGTGAGAAGAAAAATGGACAAGGTGCGGGAGAGTAACGACACGCAGAGCATTTGTAGGGCAGCTTAGCTCCATGGTCAATACGTTGATCCCCAGGTAAAAGGAGAACGAGTGCTTGTGATCGTATGTGGGTGTGTTTTATGATGTGCTACGCACGGCACCTACGGCAGCATGCGGCTGTAGGCCATTTCGTGTTAAAAATAATGAATTATACTTTTACGCCCAGCAAAACATGAACACTTGCAACGTACTGCTGCTGATTCGTACCGAAGAGCACATATGGGCGTACTGCATGCCTATAACACGTAGTACCGGGCATGATATGTAGTTCTGAAGTGTTATGTTTCACTTTGATCACATCCACCAGGATATGCACAGCGGGTGCTAATCGAACTGACAAAAACGGGTGCATTAACACGGGCAAAGGTTCGTGTTCAGCTGAGTGAAGGGTAACAGAAACGATGATATCGCTGCTCGTGGCCGATTACCGTTGCTGTGCATGCGAAGAGGTTCATGCCATGCGTGACACGTGAAAATGACGCGTATCTGGCTGAATGCTTTGCTGCTACAAGTACCCTCTGAATGACGTGTTTTGAAAAGAAGGCATTCTCTGAGCGTATTTGAGCCGCGAGCTGCAACATGGTCATATTTTCAAATGCTACCGTGTGGAGCGCAAAGATACGTCTCGTATACCAAATTTGGTATTGTGCTTCCCAATCAAACGCAGTGTGCGTAAAAAGATTGATACGTGTTCATGAGTGGGATCGCTGATACACAAAATGAATGGTTTGATTGCAGATAGAACGATTATTCTTGCAGCTCTGATACGCTTGAAATGCTAAGGGAATTAACACGCCACAAAAATTTATATTTTTCTCACTAGGGAAAAATACGGTCTACAAGAAGTTTTCTAGAATTGGTACAAAGAGCTGTGCCGCAAAAATGTAACCTTTTATAAAATGCATACTACGCTCTTTTGTTTAGAAAACGGAAAAAATCGATTACCTACGGATGATAATCCTTCTTTCTTCAATATGACATTCTGTGCTTTTGGCTCCGTTCATTTTTTAATCTTTTGATAGTGAGCTCAGAATTAATTCGGGCCGCTAATCATACCATTTTTATGTTCGTGTAAATGATGGTGAAAGAGCACCAAACAAATGAATAGAACGACAATTTCGTTTTGTTTTTGTGCCAAAGTGTGAGATAAAGAATTTCTTTCCTCAAATTTACCAAACGGCTTTCAAATTGTTTTTGTAATTATGTGAATGGATATTTTCTATAAATCTGTCAAACGGCTTCCAAGTTATTTTTGTGCTTCTAATGATGGTGTGGTGAACAATGGAAATGAGTGTAAAAGTTAGCTTTAAGGTTAATCGACGTTATGTGTTTTTTAGGAGCATTTTGCAGGTCACAGAATGCTCTGCCGAGATAATACACTGCACATATGTACCAGACATAGAAATGAATTCGTACATAAAGACACTACCAAATAAACGAGAACCGGAGATTAAAAGCGTTTTTGTTGCTGTAAATACACATCACACAGAAGGATAATTAAACGTTTAAAACTCTAGTATGCTGAAAGAGTTCTCTTGTAGAGAAATACGAGTAGTAATGCTGTGTTTATCTACCATAGGTATTCCCCACTATGCCGAGAAGCCGGAGCATAGATTAAACTTACTTTATTCCTAATAATGATATGGAAATGGCTGTGCTCTCTGAGTTCTTATTTTAAGAAAAGAGCCGAGTTTGAATATATTCATTTTTTCGTGTGACGGTTACCATTTATGACAAATTGAGGTGTTGGTATCAAAGAGAGAGTAAATTTGAATTATATTGGTGATTACAACGAAACCAAGCTCTGAAAAGTGTTTATTTGAATAGTACTGTGTGTAATAAAAAAAAAATATGCTGATAGTGAAGCAAATGCGGTCTATAGAACAATAGCTAGTTTAGGACGAAAAAGATGGTGGAGGTAAACAATAAAGCAAAAATTTTCGGGATTAGAAAAGTGTTATGAAATAGTTAAGGTGATGGAATGGTTATTTATTGAGAAAATCAGAGCAAAGCGCGCTTTTCTAACAAATAGTGCGGTACGCGCCAATAATACAAGCATTTAGTCGTAACCGGAAATGAATGTGAAATAAAGATGCAATAAGTATATTTGAAGGAATAAAGAAAATTGCTAGTAGCAATGGTGCGAGAAAATAAGAAAAGGATGAAACACAAACAAAGTATTAGTTTACGAATCGATCATGATTACTTTTATCGTGTCTCTTTCCCGATACGCGATTAGAGATACTTTTACCAAAATAGAAGGAGGCTTTTGGATTAGTTCAAAGGGATTAATAAGCATAAGTCTACGTGAAAAATATCAAAAAAAGTAGTCATGACATATTCTCACAAGAAAAAAACTAAAACTCGAATATTTTGTGATTGCAAAAGAAACTATTTATTGTTCATACAAGAAGCGTGTGTAGAATGGGGAATACGTGACATACTACTGTAAATGCCTTTTATGGGACACAATTTACCAATTATGGCACTTTTAAAATTATAAAAGCCAGAAATTTTGCCGAGGTTATGATTTTTTCGTTTGTCATACACCTTCTACGACTGTATGCAGCTGATGGAAATGCATCGGGTGGTTCTGGTGCTACGATACATACTAGCCGTAAGTTCAAAGTTTGTAAATCAATGAGCTTGGTGTATATGAATGGGAATGCTAAGGAAGTACTGTCAGTAGATGAGTCACTGTTCGAGCGGCATAGTGATGTACCTTCGTGTAGAATGGCGTTTAAAATCTTTCTGATACATCGAAAAGTGGGCAAATTGTACCATAAGTATTTGAATGCCTTTGTAAATGAGGGAAATATTCTTGAAAAAGAGATTAGTCGAATGGTAGATGAGAAGGAGAAACAGAGAATAACTGAATTAGAAAAAGAAAAGGAATGGTTGGACGAATCAGAACAGAGATACGTAGAAACTAAAAAAAGAGATGCGGAAAAGCGGTCTACGGCACAGGCTAGGCAAGAAGATATCTGCAAGATTATGATGAGGATGAAGGACAAGAGAAAAGAAGAACAAAATAAATTAAAATTGGCGCAGAAGGTAGTTGAAAAATTTAAAGAGAAAAAGAATAAAAAAATGTCACCTGAGGAAGAAAGAGTAAGAAAGGCTGAAGAAGAAAGGGTAAGAAAGGCTGAGGAAGAAAGGG